CGCACGCACGCACGCACGCACACACACACACACACACACACACACACACACACACACACACACACACACACACACACACACACACACACACACACACACACACACACAAAACTCACGCAGAACTCAAACGGGGGCCCATTCACACAATCAGACGCAACACGAATACCCGAGCGCAACATCAGCCAGAAGGGGGCGCCGAGACAGTGGCCGCACCAGCAGTGGCATACCGACCCCTTTGGCGCCACCCCAGGGGGGGAGAGATGAGCAACGCGGCCGACCCCCTCCTCCTGCGCGACGTGTAGTGATGAGACTCCCCAGAACGATGAGCATTAACACGTTGCCCTCAGCAGAGGGCCGCCCTCGGCGCCATTGGTGTCACCGTTACCGCCCGCCTCGCGCTGCCGGTTTAGGCGCCGGCAAAGGGAGCTCCCGCACCGCCCGGCGCTTCCGCGCCGTCCGCTGCGCCTGCCCCCTCAGGAGGGGGAGCGCCGGCTCCGTCCCCAGGCGCTGCTGCTACGGTAGCCGCCGGGCGGCGCATGTTGGCGCCACCCTTCTTGCCCTTACCCTTGCCCTCGCCTTTGCCCTTTCCCTTGCCGCGGCCCTTGCCGTCGCCCTTCTTCTTGCCCTTGGCGCGCTCGGCCCGTGTACGCTCACTGTACATGAGCACTTTGTCTGGCGGCGCCCGCCCGTCCGGCAACGCCGGAGGAGCGACGCCGGCGACGCCAAGGCTGGCGGCCCGCGGAAGCGGGTGGTCCAACACACGAATGGGGCCGGACGAAGGGGGGGGATTGGGAAAGGGGGGGGTACGAAATTTGCTGCATGCAGCTGGTTTCGCCCCCACCGAGGGACCCATTCCTCGATACATGACCGCCTCCGGCGCCAGGAGGCGCCGGGGAAATCAGCTACGTGAGCTGATTCTCAAATCTCCCCTTTGCTATCCCCCCCTTTCGCCCGATCCGAACGAAGTGCCGACTGGACCTGCAGGGCCTCGAGGGAGGGCTCTAACACCATCCTGTACGTGTTCGCGACTGGCTCGTACGCGCTGGCTGTGTCCGACCAACGCTCTTGGGCGTAGAGGCCCGAGATCACGCCCGGCACCATCAAGGCCTCCTCCACCTGCTGCACCGCTACCGACACGGGCGCGTTCAGGGCAGGGTTAGGGACAGCGGGCGGCCTGGCCGCGGCCGCCGCGCCGTCGACGGACATCGGGTCCGCGACGCCCAACTGACGACGCAAGTCGCGACCCACTGCTGCGCCCCAGGCGGTCTTGAGCTCCCTCCACGTGGCTCTGGGCGCCTTGTCTGCCCACTCAACTCCACAGACGTTGAACCCTTCGCACACCGTGCTCGTCGCCTTGAGGGCAGCGTCGGCACGGCGCACCACGGCCGCCTGGATCGTTTCCAGCACGTCAACTCTGCTCGTGAGCGCCTCGAGGGCCTGGTCGACCTGGGCGCGGCGGGCCGCCGCCATCCCTACCGGGCTTGCGAGGGCGGGCGGTTACTGGGTGTCCGCGGCGCGGCCGCGGGCGGGGGGCAAGGCGCGGCGCGGCCGTGAGCTGATTCAAGCCCCAAGCGGCGCTCGACATAGATCGTCCGTTGCATGCCGAACACATCACGCCAACAAACATAGCACAGCACTTGCACGCACGACGCGGCCATAGCGTTCAATATGACGCACAGCCATAGCACGCACGACACGGCACCCGGGTGGGGGCAGGGACGGCGAAGGGACGGAACGGGGGAGGGGGACGAGAGGGGAGGGGGGGAGGGGAGGGAGGGGGAGGGAGGCAAGCTAGGTGCGCTCGCGTCATATCTGACATCCTACCCCTCCCTCCCATCCCTTACCATGGCGCAGATCCCCTCTCTACTCGCACAGTCGGATGTCGAGCAGGGCAATGATCCCGAAAGGGTACGCGATGCATTGTAGAGCACGGCATGGCATGGCGTAGAAGAGCACCGCAAAGCGTAGTATCAACCTAGCATTGCATTGCATGCCGTGGCATGGCACGGGAAATGACGCCAGCGCTGCAGCGGGAGCACGAGTCGAAACGAGCGGAAGCGCGGAAATGAGGCCAGCGCTGCAGCGGGAGCACGATTCGGAACGAACGAAAGCACGGAAATGAGGCCAGCGCTGCAGCGGGAGCACGATTCGGAACGAGCGGGGCCCGAAAATGAGGCCGGCGCCTCAGCGAGAGCGGCATTTTGAAAAACATGCAGGCGAAAAACCAACTCCGGGGAAACCTGTGTGTAAGAAAACAGTACGCGGGGGGGGTCGAGCACTTTCAAACCGTCATCAGGGGATTGTGAAGGGAGAGGAGTGAGGGAGGGGAGGGAGGGGGGAGAGAGGAACGCGAAGGAGGGAGGGGCCCCGGAGGGGGGGTGCCGTGGACGAGGGAATCCGACCGCCCGCGCCGACGGGCCGAAACGGGCCATGCCCGATCGAGAGCCTTCTTTTTTGCCGCCCCCGGCCACGGCCCCGGCCCCTTGCCGCTAGGGCCTTACTGCCGCAAACAGCCGCACTGAGCAGGGGTCTGGAGCCAGACCCCCCCTCCCTCCCTCCCCCCTTAGGCCCACTGCGGGAACGCCGAATGAGAAAACGTCGCATTCTAGCCGCAAGGAGCACGAACATGTTCGGTCCTAACGCTCAGGGACGCGTCAAACGAAAGCCCCGTTTTTACGTTGAGCTGCCCACTATCACAGGGAATACGTGCGCAGCTGCTGCGCAAGCTCCCCATCCAGGCCAGGAGTTGCAGCAGAGGCGTCGAACGATCGACCCAGTTCTGGAAAGTATGTCACTCTCCGTCCGTGGAGCTGATGCGCAGATCGGCACATCTGGCCATTCCCCAGGGCGTCGCAAGAATTGACCACATCTTGAGACGCACGCCCTCCATCCTCGCAGACCCTGGGAGCTTTGAAGACGACTATGCACTGCCCAACGGCGATGAACACCCTATGCAAACGACCAGCCCTCCGTCTTTGCAGCTATGTGTCGGCGGCGAGCCTGGGGGAGAAGTGAGAAGGAGAAGCCTTCTCAGAGGGCTCGGAAGTCCTGGGCCCTCTGAGAGGTGCTCTAAGCCTTCCCCGAAGACGCAGACACCTCTCAGAGGGCGCCAGGGCTCCTTGGAAGTCCCGCCGCATTCTGAGGAGGCCTTCTCCTTCTCACCTCCCCCCATCGCTCGCCGCCCAGTTTGACGCGTGTGTGATAGAGCGTACGCCGCTCTGCGGTGTCCTCCCCGATTCCCTGGCCGGTGGAGGGCGTCTGGCCGGGCGCGGCGAAGTTTGACAGGTCGGCTCCGGGTGCGGCGAACTTTCACAGGTCGGCTTTTCCTGCTGCCTTCTCCTCTTCCTTCTCTCCTTTTCCTCGGAGGAGGACAAGACACCCATGCCTCTACCCTTCGCCCATTTTCTCCTTTTCGGGCCTCATGGGAGGCCCTCGTCGGCACCGTTAGATTCGCCTCGAAAGTTTGGTCAGAACGCACCCCGGGAGCGGTCCGGGGAGTAGCGGTTTCCATATCTTCTGTTCTTCCCATTCGCTCTTTTCCCCTTCTGTTCTCCCTCCTTTCCTTAGCCGCGGGGCCTCCCTGGCGCCGATAAAAATGGTGCCAGCCCATATTTGGTTGAACGTTTGCTGGATTTTCTCTCTCTCTCTCTCTCTCCCTCTCTCTCTCTTGGTGATACCACCGTCCAGGCAGATGTTGCAATGCCAATCACGCTGCCCGCTGTCTCGTGCCGGTGTCGCGCCCGCACCGTTGCGATATCTTTTCTCCGACGGGGGCAATTCTTGCATGGGCACCGCTTTCTTCCTCTCTCTACTCCTCCTCTCCCTCCTCTCTCTGGTCTTTCCTTTCTCCCCCCACCTTCGGGTCGTGCCACGGTGCACGCCCTGTGGGTTCGCGCACCGTCCTGCCAGTTGGCGTTCGCGCCTGCTGCATTGGAAAGGAGACCGTAACCCCGCCGCCCAGACTCGTTGCCCGCCCTCTCACAGAGGTGCCGCCCCAAGCACTGGATTAGCGTTGGGTCCTCCTCTCCTCTCCTCTCTTCTCCTCTCCTCTCCTCTCCTCTCCTCTCCTCTCCTCTCCTCCTCCCTCCTCCCCTTTCCCCTCCCTCCCCCTCCCGGCCCCCTCTCACGGTATTTCGTTTGAGCGTTTTTATTGCATTTTGGTCGCAGTAGAGATGGGAGGCGATTTCTCAATCAGTTTTTCTTGCGGTGCCACGTCCTAGCAGATTTGCTGCATGTGTTTCCGTCTTCCCCCTCCTTGTCCACCTTTGTTCCTCCTTTACTCATGCCTCCCCCGTTCCGAGTCTGGCGGGATAAGTTATTTTGCTTCGTACCGTTAAAGTGGGCACCACCCTCTACAGGAGCAATATTCGATAATAGTTGGAACATACTCTGGGGATGAATTTTCTTATATGTTTGAGAATGTTTGAATGTTGTTTGGTTATTCTTTATTGTTCATCCACACCGCCTGTTAGAGGACATGCCCGACCTGATCGTATCGTGGTTGTTTCGTGAATTGTGTCTTTGTATACAAGACTGGTAGGCAGAGTCATCGGGGTTGCCCACACCACGGTTTTCGTTTCTTCCCTCTCCTCCCCGTCCTCTTCCTCCTCCTCGTCCTCCTCACGCCACGCAGGCCGATTCTTGGCACGCCCGCTGCCAATCCAGTCTGGGCGATTTGATGTGTGTGGCCGACGCCGATGCGAATTACGTCCAACCCTGGCGTGATTAAATTTCCCCTTGGATGGAATTGCCCGTTTGCTATATGGTTGTGCCTCCTTGCTCTTCTTTCGAATGATTCCTCCTCCCGGGTCAGATGTTGCATCGTGGAGCCCCCTTCCCATCAATTTGCGAGTTGCCGCTTGAAACACCGAGTCGAATTGGGCGGATATCCAGTATACTTCAACGCCTTCCTACTTCATGTTTCTACCCACCTCTTCCGACCGCTGGATGATCGGCACATCTGGGAACGGCAAGCTCGGTGACCCTTCTCCTGCGGGAAGGCCTTCCACACGCCCGGGGCGCTGGAAGTCATGCAGGCGCTCATTGTTCCAGACGAGACGGACGAGCATGCCAAGCTTCCTTGGCAGGCTCCAGTTTTGCGAGAGCAGAGGAGAGAGGGGGGACGAGGACGAACGAGTAGTAGAAGGAGAAGGTATGACGATAGAGGAGAAGGATGAGCAATAGGCAGGAGTGAGGTTGGAGGAGGGCGGCTGGGGGGGGGCGAGGGAGGGAGAGGAGGTGGACGATTGGTTTGAGGAAAGAGCAGCGGGGAGGAGGGGCACGAGAACGAGGAGGAGGATGAGGGCCATCAGGAGGCTGGAGGGAGGAGGGTGGAGGGCGTTGGGGAGAATAGTCATTCCCCCCTCCCGCTTACCTCCCGAGCGCCTCCCACCTCCTCCCTCCCTCCGCCATTCTTCCTCAATCCTCTCGCCTCCCTTCCTTCCCTCCGCCCTTCGCCCTCCCCCCGCCCGCCCCTCCCTCCTCCGATTACGTAACCCCCTTCTGCCTCCTCCCTCTCCTGCCCCCTCCCTCCCCCCCTCTCTCCCCCCCCTCCCCTCCCCTCCTCTCTCCTCTCCCCTCCCTCTCCTCCCCCCTTCCCTCCCTCCCCTCCCCTCCCCTCCCTCCCCTCCCTCCCCTCCCCCTCCCTCTCTCCCCTCCCTCCCCTCCCCTCCCGCCGCCCTCCTCCCGGGCTCGCTTTGGGATCGTCGCCGTGACACCCTGCAGCGTGGCGCGGCCGTGGCGTTGACGTGGCCGTTTGCGCTGCCTCCGGGCGGCTCCTCCGGGGCCTCGTGCCGCTTCGGGCCCTCCCCCTCCCCGCCAGGGGTGGACCTAAACGGTGTCCTGGCGACTTCGTGGGCCGTCTTCGTCTCGAGATCGTCTTGCAGCAGGGGCGAATTTGAGGTAAAGCAGGGACAACGACGCCAAAGCGAAACAACGAATAACACTGTTCAGGTCCAGCCCTGCTCCCCGCTCCGCTCCCCGACCCGCTCCTCCAAGGCCCAGGCCAGGTACCGCTGCGACGCCGAGGCCCGGCAGGGACCGGGCGCGGGCAGCGACGGAATGCATGACGGCACCCGTGGACGCGCCAACGGTGTGTTGGTTGATGAGCCCGTTTTCCACCACCGCCAGAAGTTGGAGGGGGGAAGGAGGTGGAGGACGAGGAGGAGGAGGGCGAAGAGGAGGTGGACGAGGAGGAGGAGGACGAGGAGGAGGAGGAGGAGCAGGAGGAGGACCCCCTCCCCCTCCGACTGTATCGGAGGTTAACGGCGAAGTAGGACATCCGATTGTATCGGAGGTTGGTAGACCTCCTACCCTGACACGTCGATTAGGGAAGTGGCCGTTTTCGCTTCGCGAGAGGGCGTCGCGGCCGTCACTTTTGCGGGTCCAGGTCCGTCGGTTTCAGCCTCAGGCCGCTTTCACAAAAGGGAGGTTTACTAAAGGGAGGTTTGTCCACCGCCGATTGTAGGAAAGCGCGGTTCGTGGCCAACCCTTTTGTAGGATCGCGTGGATCGCGTGTTCCTACAAGTCGTTGTGTCGTTTTCGTTCGGTACAGCTGCAGCTTTGAAATGGCCTTTCGTGATTTCCTATGTGTGGTCCTTCGCCTTCGTGAGCTCAGAGTCACAAAAGCCAGATTCCCAAGCGCACCGTTGACCAAGCACGCCGTTAGCGCGGCCTTGGAGCACGATCCCAACAGTACGAGCTACCTGCGATGGTCATCAGCCGCCGGGAGCATCCCATGGTGCCCACCGCGTCAGCCCGCCGACGCCTCACACTTTTGAGGCCACGGCCCCCACGCCGTGCCCTGGTGGGCACGGGCGGGCTCCCCAGAGCCGCGCGCACGACTCCAGCGCTTTGCTCCCCTTCCCCCGAGCGGCGAGGCTCGCCCTGAAGCAAGGGCCCTCCTCCCCGAACCCCGCCAGGTTCGGCTGCGGCCCGACCAGGTCGGCGCCACGTACGGCACCGCCTTCGAGGACCCGCCCCCCCCCCCCCCCCTCCCCTCCCCCCTTCCCCTCCCCCTCCCCCTCCCCCTCCCCTCCCCTCCCCCCCTCCCCCGCCCTCCCCCTCCCCTCCCCCGCGGCCTGGCCCCAGGGATGTCTCCGAGCTGGGCCCGCCGAGGCGCGCTGGACCCCCCCCGCCCCCCCGCGAGCGGAAAGCACCGCTGGCGCGGCGCACCCTGGGCTCTTCAGCGGTGCTGCTCGCTCCTCGCCTGCCGGCAGCCAGCCCCGTGCACCTGCAGAGCTCCGCCGCCGCCTCCCCCGCGGGGGCCACCCGCGCGCGAGCGCAGAGCGCGCCGTGCGGGGGGGGGGGGGGGCGCGCGCCGCCCCCGCTCTTCCCTCGGGCCTGGGGCGGCGCGGGCCCCGATCCCTCCGGCACGGCAATCTCCGATGAGCCCCGGCGTTGCTCGGACGTGCGCATCTTCTCGGCGAGGACCATGGAGGAGCATCCTGGATCACTTGGCAACAGGAATACGCCGGAGGAAAGCCCCGATCATCAGAAAGAGCGGTCGTATGAGGTATGGTGTAGCAGGGGGCGCGAACGAAAGAGTGAGACAGGAATGAGGACATATCAAAGGAGAGAGAGAGAGAGGGAGAGGGGAACGAGAGAGGTATTGCATATCACGGAGAAGAAACATCAGGCAGAGCGATTATACAATGTATTGCGTACCAAAGTGTGAGACATATATGAGGAACTACAGAGAGAAAGAGAGAGAGAGAGAGAGAGAATGAAAGAGAGACTGAGGGAGAGAGAGAGAGAGAGGGGAATGAGAGGTAGAGCGAGAGAGAAATATTGCATACCACGGAGAAAAAAAACATCAGCATCAGAAAAGTGAGAGAGGGTCAGAGAGAGAGAAACAAAGAGAGAGAGAGGGGCGCCCACCGACAGCCGCCCACCGAGAGCTGCCCACCGAAATTGGCCGGCTACTTTCGCCAATCCCTTCTTCTCATACACCGGAGAAAAACCCTGCTCGGTGGATGGTCCGAACGTTTTGCAAGCACCACGTCTCGCCGCAGTTTCACAAGAGGGCCCCAAGAGGCTAACACATCGTGGCTGCCCTTGCGTGTTCGGAGGGTTGTGGCCTCCTCGCCACGTCGGGCGTCCGTCGGCTCAAAACGGCCCAGGAGGTTTCCATTAAGTCGGGCCTGTCCCCCTACAGGGGGATTTCCGACGAAAAAGGAAACATACCTCAAACGTAATAAAAAATAGTCCCAAACTAGTCTGGGGACTATTTTTTGAGTATGTTTTGACCTTTTTGGGGCATTTTTGGTGTATTTTTGATTTTTCGTCGAAGATCCCCCTTGTAGGGGGGACACGCCCGACACAATCCTCGCCACGTCGGGCGTCCGTCGACTCAAAATGGCCCAGGAGGTTCCCAACACTGCCCCAGGGCGGCGCACGCGGGGCCCAAGCTGACCCAGGCGGGCCTCCCGGGGGGTACCCTCGACGGCCCGAGGGGGCCCCTCGGCGACCCCTCGGCGACCCAAAAGAGGGCCACGACGCGTCCCCACGAGGGCCAGGAGAAAAACCTCAGCATCCCCAAAAGAGAGAGAGAGAGAGAGAGAGAGAGCAAGGGCTCCCTCGAGTGCGCGAAGTTATTCGCGCTTCGCGGTTCGGCTCCGGTTCCTCCTCATCCTCTCTTTTTCCCCTGGGAGGCGGCGCGAGAGCGCGAAGTTATTCGCACTTCGCGCTTCGCGCAGCGCGAAGCGCGAAGTTGGGAGCCCTTGGAGAGAGAGAGAGAGAGGGGAAAGAGAGAGAGAGAGAGAGGTGGCGCCCAGACAGCCGCCCACCGAGAACCGCCCTCCGAAATCGGGCGGCTGTTTTCGCCAAGCTCCTGAGGGTGCGCCCGCCGAGTGCCTCCCACCGAGAGCCGCCCGCCGAAATAGGCCAGCTGTTTTCGCCAAGCCCTTCCTTTTCCGCCACCAGTGTAAACGCTGATTAGGGAATGTCCGCCAGGACTCAGGAAGGGAAAAAAGCACACGGACATTATTCACTGCGTGGAGCTCCCCATATGTGCATCTACTCGCATGGACCTGTCCGCCGTGAATGTCTAGGCGCAAGAGCTTTCGAATATTAACGGGCTTCAGTTGTGACGGTCTGGACATCAATCTAACTGCGAATGAATTGGAGTGTGAATGAGCCTCAGTAGTACGAGCGCGTCTCTGTGCATGAGCCTGGGGCCTCCTGGGGCCTCCTGAAACCTACTGGGGCTTCCTGGGGTCTCCAGGAGCCTCTTGGGACCTCCTGGGACCTCCTAGGAAGGTTTCGTGCCCCAGGAGAGGCGCAATCTATAGCAACAGACGTACATAAAACATTGCGGATTAGAGCCACAGGAGAAGGGCAATCTATAGGAACACGCGTAAAACACCAAGGACTCGTGCCCCAGGAGAGGCCCAATATATAGGAACATGAGTAAAACATTTAGGATTGTGTACACAGGAGAAGGACCATCTATAGAAACATACGTAGAACATCAAAGAATCGTGCTCCAGGTGAGGCCCAATCGATAGGAGCATACGTAAAACACATGGGATTGGAGCCACTCCTGTTGCCTTCTGAGGCCTCCTGCTCCTGGGGCCTCTCGGGGCCTCCTGTTGCCTTCCGAGGCCTCCTGGCGCTTCCTGTTGCCTCCTGGGGCCTCCTGTGGTTTCCTGAGGCCTTCTGGAGCTTCCTGGGGCCTCCTGGAGCCTCTTGGGACATCCTGTGGCCTCTTGAGTCTTTCTGTGGCCTCCTGATGCCTCCTGGGACCTCATGTGGTCTCCTGGGGCCTCCTGGAGCCTGTTGGAGCCTCCTGTGGCATCCTGAGAAGAATCTGCGCCCACGAGCCTGGCCACCAAAACAAGCAAACCGATCGAGACATCCTCAAAATCTGGCCCACCTGGGGGGTGAAAATGAGCGCCTCGCTCGAGACATCCTCCAAATCTGCTCCGAAAGCGAAGGATGTTGAGCCCAGAAACAAGCAAACCGCCTGAGACATCCCCACAAAATGGCCGCGAACGAGCCCGTGCAATCACCCCTGGCGGCTCCCCTTAGGGCCACGAGCCTGGCCACCAAAACAAGCAAACCGATCGAGACATCCTCAAAATCTGGCCCACCTGGGGGGTGAAAATGAGCGCCTCGCTCGAGACATCCTCCAAATCTGCTCCGAAAGCGAAGGATGTTGAGCCCAGATACAAGCAAACCGCCTGAGACATCCCCACAAAATGGCCGCGAACGAGCCCGTGCAACCACCCCTGGCGGCTCCCCTTAGGGCCACGAGCCTGGCCACCAAAACAAGCAAACCGATCGAGACATCCTCAAAATCTGGCCCACCTGGGGGGTGAAAATGAGCGCCTCGCTCGAGACATCCTCCAAATCTGCTCCGAAAGCGAAGGATGTTGAGCCCAGAAACAAGCAAACCGCCTGAGACATCCCCACAAAATGGCCGCGAACGAGCCCGTGCAATCACCCCTGGCGGCTCCCCTTAGGGGTGCTGAAACCAGCGCCCCGCCTGAGACATCCTCACAATCTGCTCTCCAAGCGAAGGATGTTGAGCCCAGAAACAAGCAAACCGCCTGAGACATCCCCACAAAATGGCCGCGAACGAGCCCGAGAGGAGGAGGGAGGAGGAAGAGTAGGAGGCGTCCAAGTAATAACAAGAACCCCATCTTAGGATATGGGGAACAATTGATCGTCGATCCCCAGGAAAACATCTGAAAGTCTGGGAAGTGGGGTGGAAGACAAACACCCAGAAGATATGGGAAAATACGGGGAATCCTGTTGTTTGTGTGTCTGCATGTGTGTGCCCACTTTTTCACAGCAGTCCTGGGGAGACACTGCCCGCCTTTCGGCTGGAGGTACGGCGACTGTATGCCATCGGTGCTGCAGTTGCGTGTGCCCCTTTCTTTGCCGCGCTGCGGCCTCAGCATCCTTTGCAACGCCTCAAGCTGCTGTGGTTTCGGTTGGGCGCTCGGGAATCCGCCTCGGGTGGCCCGTCGTTGGCACGCTTGCACCCAGGTCATGCCCCAAGGGGACCGATGATGAAACGACCCTTGAAGGACCCCTTCACTGTAAACACGGCTTGGAGAATGCGCAACGAAACCAAAACCATGCCCGGGGAGGGGACGGTTGAGCGAGGGCACGTGAGCAGCAGGCAGGGCCGCCTGCGATTCGACACGATGTGTTTCGATCCGCCGACTTCCAGGGGGAAAAACACAGACACAATTAATCGTCGGCTCCCTAGAACATATGGGAAAATGTGGGAAGTGAGGGGGAAGACAAAAACCCAGAACTTATGGGGAAATACGGGGAATCCTGTTGTTTGTGTGTATTTATTTGTGTGTCCCAGGGCCCCTTGAAGGACCCCTTCAGTGCAAACACCGCTTGGGGAATGCGCGGGCCCGGGGAGGGGAGGTTCGAGCGGTGGCACGCGAGCAGCCGGCAGGGCCGCCTGCGATCCGACACGACGTGTTTCGATCCGCCGCCTTGGGCTGCGATTCCGCCTCGATTCGTTTCGGTGTGTCGCAGGCCTAGAGGTTGACACCAACACCAACACCGGCGGTGTGCCTCCACCGAGGGAAGACGATCCCGATCTCGGTGACGGTGGTAAGAACTCTGACTTCCAAGGTGACCGAAATATTGCCACCAACACCGAAATCTAGGATCATCTCCCCCATGTGGAGGCAACCCCCTGTGCTGGTGTTGGTGCTCATTTCCAGGCCTCCAGGTGTGGTTCACCGGCGCCGGCCGGAGCCAGGCGCAGCGATTCGATGTCGATTGGGTTCGGGACGATCCGTTGGCGATGCGATCCGTTTCCGATCGGACCCGATGTCGCGATTCGATCCAGGCCTGGCAGGAGGAGGAGGAGGAGAGGAGGAGGAGAGGAGGAGGAGGAGGAGGCGGAGGCGGAGGCGGAGGCGGAGGCGGAGGAGAGCTTATCGTCCGACCTCTCTCCCCGGCGAAGGCTGGTGAGGCAGGGTCATGGGCACCATCTCTTCTCGT